AAACCCTAAACCCTAAAGAAGCCTCCAGCCGCAACGCGCCGTAAACTGTAGCATAGATAGACCCCCTCTTCTCGTCAGCAAGGTTATGGTGTGTATATGCTGTTATTAAGGGTTTAGGGTTTGTGGTTTAGGGTTTGCGTACGAGTTTGGCCGTGATAGCGTCTAGAAATTCTTCAAAGTCTACAGGCCCCCCTCCATCTCTATCGAGCTCAGCAATCATTTGATAGACGGAAGGGTTTTTAGATTCAAACCCTAGCGATTGCATAGCAGCTTTTAACTCTTTAGGGTCTACAGTGCCGCTGCCGTCAGTATCAAACAAAGAAAATGCTTCTCTTACTTCTTCGATTTCATCTGCTGTTAGCCCTGGCCGCTCTAAGCGACGACGAGCAGCAGGAGAAGCACCTGTACGTCCCCCTGTTCTTTGCATATTCCTAGCTGCGATACACGCAACAAAACAAATATCCTAAACCCTAAACCCTAAACCCTAAACCCTGAGGCAATAACGCCGTACAAAAAAGGAGCGGTGGATTGCAGCAGCTGTTGCCGCAGCAAACAACACACAGTCGACAATATCTCAACAATAGAAGAAAAAATAAAGGGTTTTTAAGGTGTATATACACCGCAGCACATGCACAGCAGCAACAGCTGCAGGGCAAGAGCTAAGAGCTGAGGTAGCTACAAGAAAAGAATAATGCAGCAGAGAAGAGATAAGATATTGCTTTTAAAACAATTCAAGTAAAACCAATTAAAATATCAAAATAATAAAAGAAAAAAAAACCCTCAACCCTCAGCTTGCTTCTTAAGTCGGCCGCCGCTATCCAGACGCACTTGAGGTGTATAGGGAGCTCTTCAAGAGATTATCGTTTTCTTACAGTATGGATGACAAGATATAAACCTTTTCTTTGCAAATCTACAAAATATTGTTTCCTAAATAGTATAAAAAGGAGCAACCAGCTCCACCCAAACCTTCCCTGCGCTGCTGCTGCTGCAGCTGCTGCTGCTGCTGCAGCAGCAACAGGCTGCTGCAGCAGGGGCCCTCTCTACAGCAGCCCTCGTGCAGCAGCAACAGCAACTCTCTGCTTTTGTCTTTTGTCTCTTTTTTTATTGAAATTATAATTTTAATGCAAACCCTCCGCATATAATATCAAAAATACTTCATTTAACCCTTCACCTGCTGCTGCCTCTCCTTCCCTCTACCTTTGACTGGGCCCTGTTTAGGGTTTAGGGTTTAGGGTTTAGGGTTTAGGGTTCACGGTTCTTCCGTCAACGGTTTACGGCAACAGAGTCAGGCAGACATAATCTGCAAACCCTACACTCCAAGCAAGCCACCTAAACCCTGTGCAGATACCCAGGGTTTAGGGCTTAGGGTTTAGGGTTTAGGGTTTAACGCCCCCAACGGATGTTTCTCGTGCTTCTCTAGCAGTTCCGGAGAGCTTGCTCCTGGGAACTCCTGTGCTTGACGGTTCAGGCCTGAGGGCTTAGGGTTTAGGGTTTAGGGTTTAGGGTTTAGGGTTTCGAGTCCTTCGCAATGCCCTGTGAAAAGTGCGAAGCGAAGTTCACCAAGCTCGTGACGCCCGACGTTAAGGAAGGTAAGGGTTTAGGGTTTGGGGCTTGGGGTTTAGGGTTTAGGGTTTAGGGTTTGTTTCTTCATTTTGATCCCCAGGCGTTTAAGTGCATGTGCCCCTGAGGACCTGGCCAGGCGTTTAAGTGCATGTGCCCCTGAGGACCTGGAGTTAAGGGTTTAGGGTTTAGGGTTTAGGGCTTAGGGTTTGGGGTTTGATGGTCTTTGTCTGCAATTCAGGATCGAAGCGAATTGTCGGCGTCAATAAACTCATAGAAAAAACAACGAAAAAAGACAAGTAAATAAAATGAATTCTAGGGTTTTAGGGTTTAGGGTTTAGGGTTTAGGTTTTGGCCAGTCGGTACTAACTAATGAACGCGTGTTCTCCTCCCAGAGCTCTTTTGCTAGTGAAGCAGGCATTCAGGAACTAGGGGTTTAGGGTTTAGGGTTTAGGGTTTAGGGTTTCGTGTCTTCAGGCTTGTGATTGTGGGGTC